AAGATTATAAGCGATTACACTAGACAACAAAATTTAAATTCTTGTTTCGCTGAGAACCAAACGAGAACGAATTTCTGATCGATTTGGATCTTTCAAAATATTTCAACGAATTTTAAAACTGCCATTTTGCCGTTAAAAACTGTTACAAATACAACATTTTGGTATTTTTTGAACAAAATGGTTGAATTTCGAGTACCGGAATTCAACTGTAAAATGCGTAATTTGAAGGTTTGGACAAACGGCTGCACCTTAAGCCTAAAAAAAACGAGGGGGAACGTTGTGAGTTGCTGCGTAGACCGCAACTCTACATTTATACCCGATACTTAGTCAGTATGGCTCTCCTCCGGCAGACGCCGCTAAATTAAACGACACGACAAAGAGTGCGTGCGAGAGAGACAGAACATCAGTCTGAGCGTGACGTCGGGCGCTGCGTAGCCAGTGCAAATTGAGTTGTTCCTTTTGGCTATAAAAATGATCTGATCTGATCCAGATTCAGCAATCTGATAGATATGATCATTATCTATGATTGTGCGTTTTTAGTTTTTTCGAATCTGCCATATTGTGGACGCCCCCACTTTGTGGGGGCGGAAGGGGGTGGGGCGAAATTTTGAGCTATACGTTTTAGAGTGAGATCAAAAAGGAGTGTGGATACCAAATTTGGTTACTCTAGCCTTAATAGTCTGAGATTTGTGGATGCCCCAGATTTTCGTCTTTTCCGGGGGTGGAAGGGGGTGTGGCGAAATTTTGACACAAAACGGTCAAGGTCAGATATCACAGGAGTGTGGATACCACATTGCCATTTTGCAATTGGCAAAACCGACCATGAAACCTGTGTGTTAGAGAGAGACAGAGCGAGAAAGAATGAATTTTTTTCTTGATTCTGGCTATAATAATTATACCATCTGTTTCAGATTCTGCACTCAAGAAGATAAAGTCATCTTCTACGATTCTGCGTTTTTAGTTTTCTCGTATCTTTAAAATTGTGGATGCCACAGATTTTCGCCCTTTGTGGGGGCGGAAGTGGGCGGGGCAAAGTTTTCAAATATACTTGTAGCAGTGTCATATCACTGAAGTCCGGATATAAAACGTCGTTGCTCTAGCTCTTATAGTCTTCGAGCACTAGGCGCTGATAAGGACGGACGGGCGGACGGACGGACAGACAGACAGGGCTCAATCGACTCGGCTATTGATGCTGATAAAGAATATATATACTTTATGGGGTCGGAAACGATTCCTTCTGGACGTTACACACATCCACTTTTACCACAAATCTAATATACCCCAATACTCATTTTGAGTATCGGGTATAAAAATCATGAAAAATTTTGAAAGCACCATATTAACAATTGTTTTCGATCAACATTCGTTAGCCTCAGGAAATTTTCGGCGTTTAAGCACACTTCGGTGCTAAAACATATTGCTGGCAATTTCCCTGTCGAAACAATTCGATCAGTGCAGTGCATTAGACAGTGCAGTGAACTAACTAATACATACAAGCGGAATAAAACGCAGAATCGGATAGCTCTCACAGCTAAACGCATTAGTTTTATTATCTTTGCTCGCGGCTCCCACGTTTCTACATATACTGGGCGTCTTGTTCTGTCGGCAGCACCTGAGCCTACTAATGTCGCGAACGCAGCAATGTAGCAAATCGAGCGAATGAATGCAGATTTCGATGCCGCTCAAAACGAGCCTTGAAATGCTGGATTTGCTGCTGTTAGCCCATGATGCCCGATTGGATTTTTCGAATATTTATGTGAAAGTTAGGTCAGGTTCAGGCAGTCGCGGGAGTTGATGGCTGCTCGCACAGTTAACACTGTCAATTCAACGGCTCGGCATACTCTCGAGGAGAATTCGTCTTTGCTCGCCTATGATATTATAGGGCGTTCTCGAATGCCCGAGTTGCAGATTCCTCCATTTAGTGGAAACTACATAAATTGCCCAGAATTCCATTCCATGTTGTCGACAATGGTGCACAAGGACCAACGTATCCCAATCATCGAAAAATTCCAATACCTTTGTGGATGTCTAGACGGTGCTGCGTTGGATACGATTCGTTCATTGGAACTTTTTGAAGAAAATTACAAGGCGTTGAATTTATTGAAGTTGCGATTCGATAATAAACTTTTGCATTTTCAGGCACACGACAAGGCTATTTTCGGGCTGCAAGGGGTGGAGAAGGGCCAAGCTATCGGCTTGAGCGCAATCAGCGACAAAATTAATGCGCAATTGCGTGCTCTTTAGACCTTGCCAACCGCTCAGGAGATTTCGGACAGGACATTTAGGCATGAAATTGGACCGCATGACCAGCCGACCTCAAAATTGCCTCAGTGGTCAAGCATGGCCTCATTTTTGGAAGCAAGATGCTGTGAAATTGGGAACCAGCTATGGTACCAAGTCCTAGCCAGCAGGTTGGAAAAGACAAACATATCACCCTTAATACATCCAGGAACGACACATCCTAACCCTACATGTAAACATTGCAATTCCTCCGAGCAATACATATCTAGATGTCAGGCATTCCTAAGTCTCTCTGCGTTTGAACGATATAAAGAAAAAAAGAAGAGCTACTAATTATTGAAGTGCCCCAACAAAGGCCATGAATTTCAGAGGTGCAGGTCAGGATTTTGCAGACATTGCCAGGCCACCATCACACACTGCTTCACATCCCATTGCAGCTTCATCTTCCTTCTTCTTCGTTATGGAGCACTTATCCATTATCGTACCATTTTGCATTCTGCGTCGCAGGCAAACTGTATAACATCCAGGCTTGCTAAACAGTTGCAGTTGGATCATCGTTTCTCTTATTTGAACATCTCCGGTATTGGAAATTCCATTCTACTTTCGAGCAAGTCTGTACATATTGTTGAACAATCCCAGGATGCAAGCTTTCCAGATTCTTTTTCTGCAATTGTCACCAATTCCATTCGGAAAATGCAGACCAACTTTTACTTGGATACAAAGAATTGGCCAATTCCGAAAATTGTGGAGCTCGCTGACTAGCTAGCTGAAAAATTCACTTCAAGCCCCAACGAGTCGATCTTCCGATAAAAGCTGGCTTATTCTTCGACCTATTGTGCGTCACACAGATGCGGCTTTCGGCACAGCTGCCAATTTTTCAAGAGATAAACCATAGCTGTCAGGAAGCATTATTAACTCGGAGAATCAGTGTGCAGTGTTAGCCGCTTTTGAAAATTTCTCTCGCATTGCTTATGACGTTTTTTGACCCACCACGCTGGAGTACCATACCATACTATACCATAAGGAGCTGCACGAGTGCCAGGAGCAAGTGCAAAAACTGCGATTGGAGAATTATGAACCTACATATCCACGCTATATGAAATGCAAACTTCAACATTGGAAATTTCTACCTTTCTAAATTGTCTGCCATTCTATGGAATTTCAGAGGTTCCCGATGATCAAGATTCACCTACGACACGCCGCCTTAGTAAAGAAGCGCCGATTGGTACATTCGACGATTATCCCAGTGTAGCCGTCATCCGTGCCCAAGTTAGCGTCTTCAAGAGGGCCGCTGGGAAGATAGCGGTTCTGCCTCTTCAGAAGGCTTTGCCTTCTGGAACAGAACATCGTAGATTAGCTGCTTGCCATATAACAGCCAATTATTGGCCTTCAGCCGCTTATTCTGTTAGCCGCTAATTTGTATGTCCCTCGAATGTTTGTTAAAGCGTTCTCTCGAAGCTCGCTCTTCGTTATTTCCGCTTTGTGTCTACCTACCCATGTCTGCCGAGCGAAGCTGCGCTTAGCGATCGAATCTGCAATGTAAAGGGCAGGAAGTCTAATCTTGCAATTTAGATGTCGCGCAATAAAGTACATATCTCAATTTATGTATATTTAATCGAAGTAATTAGTCGTCCGATCGGAGAAAAAACCATTATCTCCACAGATGGATCTGATAGCTTTACAATTTTGTAATGAACTATGGCTGTTTTTATATGGCAAAGATTATTTTTTCATCTCTTAAAACTCGTACTTTTTAAATGTTTTTTTAATTTTGATGCAGTGGTTTTTTAAAATAACTTATCTTACATCTTTTCTGAATAGCTGATAAATGCATCTATAAATCGGACCTGAACAATTTGTAGGTCCAGCTTACTGTCCGGGAAATATGAATATCAAAATTTTTATTTTAAAAATCTCGGAGAACGTCAAAGGAAACTGTTTGTTTGTGTTTTTTAAATTTTAGTTATATAGTTTCGCAATGTCCCTATTTTTGAAATAAGCTCATTTAATTTTTAAAGACAAAATTTTATAAACTTTTATACAGCCTGTGTTCGGAGCAGCAGCCGTTAATAACTCTTAAGTCACGTCTCTCTTAAGTTTTCTGTTATCACGCTCAGCCTATTTACGCTCAGTGCATACACGCACACACCTATGTAAAGTTATTACTTGTTATAAGCCACTGCTTCGACCCTTCCTTTTGTCTAGTCGGTCGTTCCTATTCGAGGCAGTCGGTCTGCAGTACTCTTTGTCACCCAAAACGCCTAACACCTAAATCTAAGTCCACGGCCACGGCCTCGAACAAAAAACACACAAACAATATCAAACAATAAACGCCAAATTGTAACCTTAAAAACGGAGCAATTTTTTTCTTTTAAATTTTGGAGTCATAGTTGCCGAAAAAGCTCGGCAGCTTCTAACAGCGGAGGCGGACCGAGACGTAATTATCCATCGAAGAGGACGGTATTGTAGAATTACTCTAAGCACTCGTTGTAATAAGAAATGCTAAGAAACGGGGAGCGACGTGCGGATTGTAAGAGCGCACAGAACCGTGAGAGCGAGATCGAGGCAGAGGGCGATGTAACTGGCTGTTAACTGAGCGCGGTACCCAGCAGCGATAGCAGACTGTTTTCCTGGGCTGCCAACAGCGTGGTTGCCCTGTTACAGCTGTTACCCTGAAAACAGTCATACCTGTCTTTACGTTTATGCAAACCTTCTATTTGATTTAATTTAACTAACCAGGTTTTTTCTTATTTTTATAGATCAAAGACAAAAGAGTAAAGGCGGTTCTGGAAGTTGCTGTTCAACAACGTGCTGCATTTTGTAACTAATTTTATATATAAAATAAATTACTTAAATGAATGGATGATAAAAGACGAAAATAGAAAATAGTTTTTGTGCAGTCATGAAAATTAAGGAATGAAAAAAACAAACTCCGTTTTGTTGGAAATATTATTGTATATAAGGAATATATTTTATTTATGCGAACTATAAATACGGGTATTTGTAAGCAGAAGCTAAATGCAAAATGCTTATTATGTTCTACGCTGTAATAGTCTGCATAAAAACGTATAAAATGTAAAATATTACTACAATACAAAATATGTTGATCAATCTTTACTGTAAACTTAATTGAAAAAAGAAAAGATCTTTATGCACTAACTAAACAATATGTAATAAGATAATTAAACCAAATTTACCCAGGTCCTAATATTACCAGTATGTTTTCATACCCTTTTTGATTTTGGTCAAGTGTTTGCAATGAACAAAAGGCTACACATCCGACCTCACAACATTGTATATACATATATTCCTTACCATCATAAACATAAGAGCGATAAAGCTATGTCAATCTGTCTGTACTTTGATCCTCTTGCCTGTTTTTATATATACTAGACTTGGCAGAGACTACTGTATTTTGGCTGCAGGCTTCATAACATCCAAGATCCAGGACATCCAAAATATAACTACATTTCGTTTTATATCTATATTCACAAGTCAGTAAGATTTATAAATTTTGGTAACAGAATCATCTACTTGCCGTAGAAACTCGGTTGCGTTTTTTTTTTGTAAAGTTTTCTATTTCTACCCCACGAGGTATATATAAGAGTCCTACATTAATACGAGGTATAACCACATGTAGTAGTGCTTTCGAGAATTACGCATTTTTCTTTAGCCACACTGGGATCTCCCGGAGTCACAAATAAAAATAGCTAGTATGTCTCTGAAAACACTCAAAACGTGTTCTTGCGTGGACATTAGTGTTGCGCTTATTTATAAAAGTTTAATTTTCAAAGGTCTCAGGCTCTAAAAATGTTTGTTTTGTTATAAACCAATAAAATATAAAGTTTCAGTCTGATTCGAAAACGTTTAGAGGCGACTTGAGGTCAAAGTTCAAAAATACGATATTTGGCCAATTGTTCCTATGGCAGCTATACTATATATTGCTCTGATCGGATTGCATTTTTTTTGTGATATAGAACATCAAAATAAAATATAGCCCCCAAAATTTCAGCCCGATTGGTTAACATTTAAGCCAAAAATAAATAGATAACATTCAACTTCTCATACTAATGTGCAAATTACACGTGCAGGGTATTTGTTCAATATTGCACTCGCAAATGCCATGTCGATGATGCAAATTGAAGAAGACAAGACATTTCTTGCACTGCAGCGCCAGACCCAAAGACCAGGGCATTTAGTTGGACTATTTAGTTGAGCGCCAACTAAAGGATCAAGTCCGAAAGCGAATTGCTACTCAGATCGTTTCATTTAATGCCGGCAGTAAGATTATTACGTAAACCATTAATATCTGCAGGACGTTTCACATATTCTGGAAGTGAGTGCGAATCCAGCGATTATTCGATGCATAATCATCTGGAAATGGAAATTTCGGATAACGAAACCGAACCGCTTGCAGCGAAAAGAGGCAGGAAAAATTTGTTTACCCAAAGAGTTTTATCTTTTTTAGATAAGTGGACGATCACTACTAATGCAGCCATGCACTTGATTTCCGCTATAGCTGAAGCTTTAGGCCACGAAATCATTGAATATGATATTAATAGGAGAGCAATACAGCGGCTGCGAGAAGATAACAGACAAAAAATATATCTGTCGGCAAAACAAAACTGTCAACATTTGGAAAAGAACTTACGTATTCTCCTACAAGTTAGTCACGTTTATTCTCACATGTCAGCAGTGGTTCATTGGGATGGTAAAATGCTTCCTGAACTGACTGGGCACGGCAAAGTTGAACGATTGTCAATCATTATTTCACATATGGAAGGCAAAAAACTTCTAGGAGTGCCAAAATATACATTTCACACGCAACGTTTGTTGACCGAATTGGGAATAGTTGGTAAAATCAATACAGCCTATTTTGATACAACTGCATCCAATTCTGGATGACTTAATGGCGCTGCATTCTACCTAGAGCAACTATTAGACCGAAACTTTTTATACCTCCCGTGCAGACATCACATCAGTTAAATATGTTTGCGGGCAGCCTTTGAGTCATGTGCCGAAGCTACATCAGGTACAAACGTTCCACTCTTTGCCAGATTGAAAGATTCCTGGAACACTATTGTACAAGCCAAGTTTTGGGATCGGCTCCAAAAGGTCATCGTTTCCGACTCCCTGGATAAATGCACCATTCTTGCTGGATGCCCAAGGCGATTTATACATTAAAAGTATATTTTTTTCGAGAGGAGTTTACGTTGACAACTCGAGAAAAATAATGTTTGCGCGACGTTATTTTTATAGTGCGTTTTTATATAAATTATTGGTTCCGGTCAACATTAGCTATTGAAGCTCCAAATCTGGACTTTCCATTCATATGCGAAATGTACACTTATAAAGAAGTTATTCCGATAATTGCAAACGTCGTTCTAAAAAAGACTTGCAGCCATTTGTGGTATTTATCTGATGAAAATATCGCACTTGCATTGTTTGACGATAAAGTTACTTTCATGGAGAAACGAGAAATGTCGAAGCAACTCTTGGTACTTTGTGTTGACCATGATGATGTCGAAACTTCTGCAAAACGACTACTTTTAAAAGAAAAACATTTGCCTACGTTCAAGACTCTCTGCCTACAACGACACTTTCTGATTTTGTGAGACCTAATTCTGCTACATTTTTCGATCGCTTTTATATTGCCAAAGATTTTTTAACTGACGACCCTTCAGAATGGCATAGACATGAACATTTTCAAAATGCTTTGAAAATATTTAAAAATTTAAAAGTAGTTAATAATTTAGCCGAACGTTCTGTTAAACTTTTGCAAAACGATAACCAAATACTAACCAAAAAAGAAGATGAGTTTTAGAAGTTTCTAAACGTCGCAAAAGAATATGCTAGTCAATATCCATTGAATAATAAAAATGCGTTAATATAATACAAAATGGTCGTTTAACTTTTTATTATTGGCTTAAATGTTAACCATTAGGGCTGAAATTTTGGGGACTGGATTATATTTTAATGTTCTACATCACAAAAAAATGTAATCCGATCAGAGAAATATATGGTATAACTGACATAGGAACCATTGACCAAATATCTTATTTTTAAACTTTTATCTCCACCTCTAAACGTTGTCGAATCGGACTGAAACTTTATATTTTATTGTTTTATAATAAAAGGAAAATTTTAAGACCCTGAGACTTTTGATTCCGGCACATTTTTTTCGCCCATACAAATAAGCGCAAGCCTAGTATTATAAATAGTATAGTAAGGGAAAGAGACAGAAAGACAATTTCAAAATTTTATTTAAAAAAAATTTACATAGGTTTTTTTGGTAGATCTGCCCGCTTGCGTACTAGCAGCGATACACTCAAATAAATATTAATATTATGTTTTCTTCCTACCAGAAAATCAAAGGGAGAACGCAAATGGAAAGTGCGAATTTCGTATATATCTCAGTAAAAAAGCCAACGCTTGTTGTGAGTGAGCATTCTGAAGAATGAAACAACTTCTCACGAATTGGAAGACTGTAGTATACATAATATCAAAGACTATATATGCAATACCAAGATGTTGCATGAGGAACAAATGCTTTTTCAATTTTCTTTTGACGCTTCATGGTACGGGCGCGCGGGGCTAGTACTTAAATTCTCTTTTACGCTACCTTCGCCTCCGAAATGCTACTCGGCTTCGTCAATGCCTCGGTCAGCGTCGAGTCGGTGTGTCTCGAGAGAAAGAATACAAAAACAAAATATGAATCGTTGACGACGGGAAGCCATCTGGAGTGACTCAGCACATTGATGCTCGACTTGAATTTGAATGGTCCGATTTTTTGGTTTATCTTGGTGTTCTGTTTTGGTTTTTTGGTTCAAAAAGCCGTTGGTTGTATTATTTGACAACATACTTTATATTTTTAGGAAATATTATTTTTAGATTTAAGTTCTTTTTTTAACTTTTTTATTTCTGCCAGAAGCCTGTTGCATTTCTTTTTATAAAAGTTATTTGACTTAGAATTTTTTTTAAATTTTTCGCAAATAGATACTTCTTTTTCTGCATTAATTTCGGGCTCAATAAATTCAACAGAATTATTTTCCAGTTCAATTTCTAAGTTCAAAGTTGGAATAGCTTCGCTTTTCAACTTTTTTTTCCCTATATATGCGCTAGAAAAATGATCATCGCATATAATCAGTTTTTGTTCATAATTCTCCAGTGCAACACAACATTTTTCGCGCCAAATTTGACCAAAAATGCTGTCTGCAGGCGGAAAATTAAACATTTTTATACCAGGATTGGTACGCCTTGATTTTTGGCATGTCTTCACAATGCATTGCCGGTCGGACTTTGCATCACCTTTTCTTATTCCGCTCATATTTTTTTACAACTGATTGCAATGATTGCTAAACAAGAAGTGAAGAAGCGAGCCTGGCACGAGCTCGAGCCAACCCAGAAATATGCTTGTAGTTGTGTATATGTGTGTATGTCCTAGGTCGGCACGGCTATAAACCGGTTCCGCCCGCAGCATATACGGCTTTTAGCTTCACACACAAGCGCACTGAAAGCATGTCAGTATCTGCGTGCCGAAACCGCAACCGTAGGGCAGCGTGGTCGCTGATTTCTTTGGCGCGGCACAGTGGGGACTCAGCCGAAATAGTAAAAAAATTGTATGAGTGCTTTAGATAAATTTAATGTACGCATCTAATAGAGAATTTTCCAATCGAATTTTCAAGATAGTTTTAGTTTAGGAGATATAAGCACTCAAAGTTTAACATTTTTTCAGTGTGCAAAAATTTATTGAACTCATATTCACTAACTAATTTAGCATGCTGAGACGGCCAAAGGTCCCACTGTGCCGCTCCAAAGCCATCGGCGATCCGCGACCACCGCTTCGACGGTGCTGAGGCTCGAGAGTCCAGAATTATTTCGGCTGGTGAAGGCATTGCCGAACAGACGAAACCGATGGGCAGCGGGGTCGTGGTAGAGACGAAGTACATGCGAAAAGGGAATTGAAACCCCGCGCGCTCCCTCGTGCCTTTTGGGTCCTAATGTTAGGACCCGCCATAGAACAGCTTTTTGGTCGTTCATGCAACATCATGCAAATAGTCTTTGATAATACTAAAGACTATACAACTACCAAGATTTCAGACCGAAAAATACTACGTTGTAGGGCATGGGACCGAGCCCAGACGACTTGAACAGATGAAGCCAAGTGGGCAGCGGGACGCGGTCCTAGACGA